ATTATTATTTTAAATTTTCCGAAAAAAAAAAAAAAAAATTCATTCACACACTTTTTGTTTTTCCATCCTGGATTTGTTTTGTTTTATTAATTCAAATGTTTACAAACAAACAAACGAACAAACAAATGAAAAATTAATAATTTATTATTTTAACGAACCGTAAATTTTTTTTTTTATTTTTTTTATTTTGCATAATTTTTCGTGGCGCGAGAATAAAAAAAAACCTTCGATGAAAATAATAATAATAATAATAATAATAATAATAATAATGAAAAAATTTTTCGCTTTTGTAAATTAATAACCTTCGTCGTTGTTATTTTATTTCACTTATTTATTTATTTTATTTTAATAAAATTCGCCGCCGTAGAATAAAAAAAGTAATAAAATTATTAATAATTTTTTATTACGACTTTATTTCTCTTTAAAAATTTATTTTTTATTTTTATTGATTTATCTGTTACATAAAACTTATTAATTTGTTTTAAACAAACGACAAACAAACGTTAGAAAAACAACCGCAACAACAACAACAACCTACACACCATCACCACTTATTATTATTATTATTCTTCTATTTTTTTTTATCTCTTTTACATCATCCGGGCAAAACTTTTTTTTTTTTTTTTGATTATTTTTAAATTAATAATAATAATAATTATTATTAAAAAAAACCGGAAATTAATAATTTATTATTTAAAAACCTTAATAATAATGATAATAATAATTTAAGGGTTATAATTAATTAAATTACGATTTTAATTATCATAAGAATTTGGCAACGAATAAAAAAAAAAAAAATTAATTAACTTAAAATGGCGGGAAATATTAACGATTTAAATTTACGTTTGTTGAGTCACTTCATTCGATAATCATTTATTATCATTATCATCATCATTATTATTATCATTATTATTAAACATAAACATAAAATATTATTAATAATCAATATGACATTTAAATGTTAATTTAATAAAAAAAAAAAATATTAAAGTTTTCGTATATATACAAATTTTTACGTGTCGTTCGTTGTGGTTGTTGTTGTTTGTGTTTGTTTGTGTGTTTGTTATCACGGGATGTCAATACGAAATTTTTGTCAATGGGAAATTAAAAAAAAAAAAAAAAAAAAAAAAAAAAGAAGAAATTTTGTAATTTTACGCCCGGCGGTAGACCCGTTAAAAAAAAAAATTGTCGTTTCGTAACGACTTTTTTTTTTTATATAAAAAACTAAAATTTATTATTATTATTATTATTATTAATAAATTTAATTACCTTACGGAGGTATTTAAATCAATCAATCAACGTGATTAATTTATTTTATTAAAAAAAAAAAAAAAAAATTATAAATTTTATGGTGAACGACCTGGGAATTTTTTTTTTTATTGTATGCAGACGAAAAAATAAATTTTCCACGTTGTACCTTTTTTTTTTTTTTTGCAACACAAAATAGATGATGATGATAATGATGATGATGTGGGGGGGGAAAAAAAAATATTATTAAATTTAAACATAACATGTAATTACGTATTATTAGTTTAGAATTTTTTTTTTTTTTTTTTCGATTTATTTTGACAGAAACGTTTTTTTTTTTTTTTAATATTTATTTTACGTTTAAGTCTGGGTACAGGTACGCCGAGTTCAAGTTCGAGTTTAAAAAGAATTTTTTTTGTGACGTCATTTATTTAAAAAAAATGTTTTTTAAATTTTAATTGTTTGCGTTGTTGTCGATACGATAATTTTTTTTTATTTTAAAATACTTCTTACAAGTTGTTTGTTTCGTAATAATATTTTTAATTTAAATTAAATTAAAAAAGGCAAGTCAGGTGACAATATTAATAATAAATAAATAAACTTTGGATTTTAAAATGTCTCATTATTTGTAATTAAAGTTTTAATGGTAACAACAACAAAAAATAAATTTTATTTAATAATTTATTAATTTAAATCGTTGAAAAAAATTTCCATTTACGTATTTTTTTATTAACTTGTAATAACATTTTTAATTTCACGGATTAATTATTATTATTTATGTTATTTTTCTGTAAGTTTTTTTTGTTTTGTGATATAAAATTGTGTTTATTTATAATTATTATTATTATTGCGGCACATTATTTTAGTTTGTTGAAATTAAGGAAACTAACTTTTCCAAGTCCCTGAACGTTCACTTTTGATAAAAAATATCAAATGATTGTAGTATTGTAACCCTTATTATAACAATTACATTGAAAAGTTTTTTTTTTTTTTTTTTTTTTTTTTTAAATCTTGGGTAATTTTATTTTAAAAGTATCATTGTCCCTACTACGTACGTGTTTTTTTATATAATAACTTTTATTATATTATATAGTCGTAATTATTATTATTACTATTTTTTTTTTTTAATAGGAATCGTAAAAAAAAAAAAAATTGTAACAATGAAAACGACTTGGCAAATATGGAGTTTGTGTTTTACTTTGTCATTTATTATCGAAAGTAAGTTTTTGTTAAATTAATTTTTTTTTTTCGATTATGTTTTTCTTATTTGTAATTTTTTTCATTCTTTTATTTCAGCGGATTCTCATAATTTACCACATTTTAATATTTATCAATTTACAACCGATTACGCGAGTAAATTTCCATTTTATTCTGGATATTTTTATCCCGGATTATCATCTCTTTACGATGGCGACGACAGGAATAACGATCGAGATTCTGTTATAATAAATAAAGTTCCCGTTATAAGGTAAGACGTAAAGGTAATTTTTTTTTTTTATTATTATTATAAATAATTAAAAATTAATTTTTATTTCTTTTAGTTACGGTACAAGTTATTTTTACGACACCGGGAGTGGAGGGAGTGTTAATCTTAATTCTCAATGTCCAGTCATTAAATCTAATTGCGGTACGAATTTGTACAGATCGTTCGATGGAAGCTGTAACAATTTGCAAAAACCTCTTTTGGGAGCTGCCAATACTCAGTACGGAAGATTACTCCCACCAAAATATTCCGATGGTAAGTAAAAACTAAAACCCCTTGAAATTTTTTTAGTTATGCAATTTGTAATACACGAATGTCAAACAAAAAGTATAATGTAAAAAAATTTTTTTTTTTTTTTAAGGTGTCGGATCCCCGCCGTTGTCGGTCACGGGGGAACCTCTTCCGAACCCGAGAATTTTAAGTATATCGATATTTCCAAATTTCGAAGTCGAAGATCATTTCTTGACTTTGGCAACCATGCAATGGGGTCAATTGGTAACTCACGACATGTCTTTCGCATCGGGAAGTTCCCTTTCCGGTAATTAATTTAAATACGTTTGTGAAAAGTGAATAAAATAAATTTGTAAATAATTTAAAAATAAAATAATTAGAGCAAAGAGCGGGAAGATGTTGTGGAAATGACGGAAGTTCTCAAGGTGCGGTAAATTTTCAAAATGGACCACAAGAATGTTTTCCCGTTTTCGTACCGCAAGACGATGTACTAGCACAACATTTCGGATCTCAATGTGTAACATTTGCAAGAACGAGAACCGATAGACTATTGGGATGTCCAATGCGAAGAAAATCAGCCGAACAGGTACGAAAAAAAACTAATTTTTAAAAAGAAAACCTAAAAACTAAAATAAAATTTTTATTTATAGGTATCCATCGTAAATCATTGGCTCGACGGTTCGATTGTTTATGGAAGCGACGATGAAACAGCTCGATCATTAAGAACATTTTCAAAAGGAAAATTAATAACGGAATCAAGAGAAGGAAGAGAATGGCCTCCTACTAATGTTAATAGAAGCATGATTTGCGAAGGTTTATCACAAAATGGTTTCGGATCCTGTTACGCATCAGGTTGATTCGCTCTTTCAAAAGATATTTTTTTTAAAATTTTTATAAATTTTAACTCGTTTTTAATCGTTAAAATATTTTCTTTCATTTAGGGGATGTTAGAATAAATCAAAATGCTCAATTAACTGTTTTACAGATTCTTCTACATAGAGAACATAATAGAATAGCTAATAA